TGTCTCAGCACAACTTACGTATTTCACATTCAGCTTGAGGTATGTGTGGTTCTCAGGTACGGGCACTTAGAAGTCTTGGCGGAAAAATTTCTCACTGAACAACTAGGTGACTTTTAAAAAAAGTCTGTTAAATGGAAATCGTATATTTACTTTGCAAAATTTATGGTGATTTATGCTAGTGACCGCAAAAAGTAGGTGTAAAGCAAAGCCATTCGTGCAGTTAATGACCTGAGTACTTCAAGTCTGGTGCAAAAACGCATGATGGCACGGGCCCGCCCAGTGCGTTCCAGACTGGGTTACCTCCTTCCACCGCATCCTTTCTTTCTGCAAATCTCCCAATTTGCAATCTCACGCATCTTTCACTGATTCCACTCGACCTCACTACATCCTTCACTGCATCCTTGATCCATGAGCCATCCTATGAGAAGCAAAAAAGATTGATATGCACAGAACCGACCAAAATATGAAAGTAATCAGCGATGTAGATGTTCAAATCATGAAGAGAAATTAAAACGCATGTATGGAACGTAGTGGAGTTCGCCTTCGAGCATGTCCAAGCGTCGCCGTTTCGCTCGCCTTCTAAAACTTTGGGGAAGGCGAGGGGGCACCATTCCTCCGCGTGCCTGGCTACCCCTGCTTTTTTCGCCTCATCTGCCGCGCCAGCCGGCATTCTTACGAATCGCCCACACCTGTGGCAAAATCCTGGAAAACATCAAGGACTAACTCTGTCTGTCTCTAGGCAATTTGCTTAGCAGTAAAGCATGCTACCTGCTGGCAGACTGATAGAATAGAAAACGAACTCTCATAGATCGAAACAAATAAATATAGGACGTTAGGATTTGATACGTTTCATCATGAAGTTACATGATGTTCAACGTTGTTTGGGTAACCATTATTTTTGACGAGATTCCTTCACCTGCTTCACAGGAGGATTTCACACTTTCATCCGAATCACTGCTGGTACTGGGCTTTCGACAAAATTTCCGACTTTTCATCATTTTTATGTTCCGTTGTAACTGTTCTATCCAAATCTGCAGTTTTCTTCACCATCTTATTCACAGTAGAAAAAATTGATGTTATATTAATGGATCAGACTGCTGTAGAAATCATTTGAGAGTCTAAACCTCGAACTACTCAGTTATAACCCAGAATATACCAGGTTGCTCTGGTAGAAATTTTAGCCGAATGAGGTTGCTTCGTGGTATCGCGCAGTACAAACACCAAGTTCCCATAAATACTGCTCCCCGCCTATAGTAGTCCTAAAATTCTGTCGTCCGAACAGGCAGACAATAAAAATGATTGTGTCGCCTGTGTGCACAACAAATAAAGCATTTTAAACTGCAAAAATTCTAACCGCCAATGCGCCTTCGTCGCGTGAACTTTCCAGCCCCGCAGGGTCTGGAGGCGCCGCCTCCCGCAACCATGGAGCCGGCATACTGAAAAATTTTTTGGCAACATTTGCAGCCAAGTACAAGACAGAATCAATGTAATTAGATGACCAGTGCATAATAAAGGCCAGCACATAAACCCAGCTGGAGAGCGAGCTCATTGCGATAGCAGTACAAGGGAACGCTACATCCTCAGACAGCTCTCTGGTGTCTTATCTTCTGCACTTATTTTGAGCGGGCCGAGGACAACCCACCTTTTATAGAACGGCTGCGAAAGCCATTTCAGTTTGTTCAGTGAATTTCTGAAAAGATATACCTATTTCCCCGTGGTTGACCACGTATGCCACCATTTGCGACTCCTCCAATGCGACCATGTTGCGCTGTGGCACTGCTGCATCCAAAACGGGCACGGCGAAAGGTACCGGACCCGCTTCCTCCACATGTCGCATTCTCTCGACCGGAATGCGATTTCGCCTCGAGCGTCTGGAAAAAGCCGTCATTCATTGTGGAATACGTTGCTTTACGATACCTTACGATCTAGAGCTGCGTAGCTCCATTTAGTAGGCAGTATCTGTTCGATGTACAAGCACCAACTACTGAGTCACCCGAGAGGCCGTTTGTTTCCTCGCGACGCCACTCACTAATACGTGTTGCCCAAATGCTGTCCGCAGGACGAACGACGTGCTCTGATCGATTGATCGACACTCACGCAAGGCCGTAAGGTACTGCACGTTCCATATCTGACGGAAGGGCTGACAAACGGCAGCAGCTAATAGGCGCTCGAAGAACTCACAGGCTGATAAGCGGTCTGCTTGTTTCTTCCAGAGCTGATACTGCTAAAAAGCAGATACTGATACTGCTAAAAAGTCTTCGAGCTTTCCCGTCTATTTCATCTAGTTCCTAAAGCTAGCTCCAAAAAACTTACAGCGCCAACTCGCGGAAATCATTCTCCGCATCCGGTTGGTCGCCTTCTGCAGGCACCCCCTCGGTGAGTTTTGGCACCTCTTCTGCGGCCTGTGCCACTTCCTCAGGCTGAGGCACCTCCTCCTCCAGTTTTACAACCTCCACGTTGCGTTGTTCGGGTGTCGGTTCTTGTGGAGGAGTCGGTTCTTCCATCTCGGCCATTTCCACCACTATCTCCTGCACGACGCCGGCCACGGACTCTTCCCTTTCGCTCTTCAGCGCTCAGGCAGATAGGACTTTCCTGGGCTGCCCCCAGGCATATGATTGCACGGGTTCAGCAACATGAGCTTGGCGGTCAGATCTATCGTTGTGTCCCTGCTCCTTCCCTCCTGCTGAAAATAAAATTGTTTAGTCTTTTAAATTCTTTTTATGCGCAAAAATGCCGGTCGTTTCTTTTTGCATGTGCGTATGTACGTGCGTGGGTGGATTAGTGATGGAGACAGTCGAGTAGGTGGAGGTGGGCAACTTCAATTCAGTGCTTTTACCTATGGGTAAAAATGGCCAACGCACGGGCTGCCCGTGCGAAGATGCGTTTTTTGCAGAGTTCCCCGCAGTTTT